GAGCAAGGGGGTGACCTTCGCCGACGACTTTGGCCGGATGGTAAGGGGCGGGGGGCTGATCCTGCTGCTGGTGGCCCCGCGGCGCTCCCGGCCGGCCCCAGCTCACCGCTGCTTCTCTCCCCAGTAGCCAGCTGGCCAGGAGTGACTTCACGAACTACCTCAACCAAGTGCCTGCTGCCCGGGGGGCAGGCGAGAGCCCCTGCGCCTCACCGGAGGGCAGCCGACGACTTTGGCCGGATGGTAAGGGGCGGGGGGCTGATCCTGCTGCTGGTGGCCCCGCGGCGCTCCCGGCCGGCCCCAGCTCACCGCTGCTTCTCTCCCCAGTAGCCAGCTGGCCAGGAGTGACTTCACGAACTACCTCAACCAAGTGCCTGCTGCCCGGGGGGCAGGCGAGAGCCCCTGCGCCTCACCGGAGGGCAGCCCCAGCACCCTCGGGCCCGGCCAGCTGGGTGCCCACCCCAGGGACCCCGGCCCCTGCCTCCAGCCCGTGCCCCGCGCACAGAGTGCCTGCTGCCTCTGCGTCAGAGGGCGGGCGGGCCTGTCCCGCGCTCGTCCCCCCATCTCCTCCCTCCTCGTGCCCCCTGCCCGCTGTTCCCAGCCCGTCTGCTCAAGCCCGGCCCCAGCTGCAGGACGCACGCGAGGTGCCGCCGTCCTTCGTGGCTTTACTCTGCACTGAACCTGCGCAGGCAGAACCAGGCCCCGCTGGCGCCCTGCCCCGAGCAGAACCAGTCTGCTCCACTGCCTCCCAGTCACAACACATCTGTCCCACCCCTGCCACCCCGCTGCCCTCCAGCTCTGCCCCAGCCCCGCTCCCGCATGGCGGGGGGCCCAGCCCGCCGCCCCAGGGCTGCCCTGCTCGCTGCCGCCCGCGTCTCGCTCTGCGCAGCCGAGAACGAGCCGGCTGCGGAGCGGGAAGAAGCTTCCCTCGGCCCCGCAAGGCGATGGAGCTGGTGCACCAGCAACAGCGGTGGGTGCGCTTTGTTACGAACTGATGTCTGGAAAGTGTTTTCATAAATGCAAATTAAATACAAATGGGCTCTGTCCGTGTCTGTCCGGGGGCACCGTCCTCGCTGGTGGCGCACGGTAACAGATGATAAAATGAAGAGCAAACCAGAAAATTCCCCCATCTCAGCAGACACCGGAGCGGGTGGTAAGAGCCAGAGCTGGACTCCGGCCACCAGCTGCTTTAACAACAGGCGCTGACGCAGTCTCCAGACAGGGTGTTTATTGTGGAAGGTGGCGGGCACCCGGGCACCCCTGCCCTTCCCTGGAGCAAGTCCCCGTCTGCTCTCCAGGAGAAGGGCAGCTGCCTGCAGGGGAGGAAGCCCTGCCTGCAGGGGAGCCCCCCCAGTGCCTTTCCCTGGGCCGCACCGAGCGCCGTGCAGGCCCAGACCCCCGCAAGGGGCCCCGCGGGGGCTGCAGCTCGCCCACGGGGTTCATCGTGCTCAGCTCGCTGCGCTCTCGGCCCGCGCCTGCGCCCGCGCCCGCGCCGCCTCTGCCTCCTGCTCCAGCTCATCCAGGAACCGCTCCTGCGACACCGAGTAGAAGGTGTAGCCGTCTGGGGGGGGGGGGGGTTAAGGAAAAAGGGGGGCGGGGCCGCGGCGGGGGCCGGG